TGGGGCGCGGGCCAGGGCGCGGCGCGCTGGGGCGGGTCGGAGAGGAAGCCGTCCGCACCCCTCGCCCACGCTCCGCTCGGGGACCCCGCCAGACCCACCCGTCGCCTCGGCAACCACGGTGCCGGCCAATCCGCAGCCTCCTGTGGGCTCCCCGGCCGGGCATTGGTCGTCGTTCAGAGGGGGCGGGAGTTTAAAGTGGGTTTGGGGGCAAGGGCGAAGCTGGGGGCGTGGCCGGCGTGGGCGGTGGGGTGAGCCGACGGGTGGAGGATGCCCACCAGCCCACCGTCCACATCCTCTGCCTTTTCTTTCCCCACCTCCCCTCCTTGCTCTAGGATGTGGGGAAAAGAAGAAGTGGCAGGATACACCTGTTTTGCGCACAGTGGACGCCCAATAAATGTTACTGACTGAATGATGTGCTGGCCTGAAGCCAGAGCCGAAATCCATTTCTGCTTTAACAGAGAGCTAACGCAGCTCTGTTCCCCCATCCCACTGGCTAATAAAGAACATAAAGTCTTCCCCAGGTTGTGCATATTACCCTACTCCACTTTAAAATAAACGTCTGCTGCAATTTCCATCACGTGGATCCACATGGCACCTTTCAACCTAATAGCTGGGCAAGAGTTAAGTGGAGTCAGACTGTGGGAGTTACAGTCCTTGCTCTGCTCTTTAATAGGGGTGAGGTGCTGTGTGACCTCAGCAAAGTTACTTAACCCATTAGCATATCACTTGTTTTACAGTAAAATGGCAATAATAACTCATTATTATTAATATAATATTAATATTGTTAATAATATTATTATTAATAATGGTTGGGCATTTTTACATCTAATGCAGTGCCTGACCCTAAATATATGCCACTTCTTCTTCTTCTTAAATCTGTTAGAAGTGAACGCTAATTCCCTGAAGATAAGTCCTATCTGATTTATCGTAATGTCCTCCTGGCTCATAGTACAGACTCCATAAATGTTTTGTGAGATGAATTCAAGCCAGGAATTAAATCTCCATTTTAAATCCACTTAATATTTATAGAGAGCATAACCTGTGCCAAGTCCTTGTTAAAATTTAGCTCCAGGGATACAAACATGTGGGAGACAGTCTAACCAGGCAGATAGATTGTAAACAAATTAATTACAATATATCAGGGCTGCCAACAGAGGAATACAGGGTGCTATGGAAGCCCAGAGGATGCTGGGATACTGGTTAAAAGACTTTCCTAAAACCATACAGTTGTGTTTAGAGAAAACCTGGAACCAGAACCAAGTCCCTAGCGGACTATTGAACATGACCTTTGAGGCAATGATGATGACTGGGTACTCTTATCATTCAGGATACGAAAGATATACTATCCCCCATTTGAAAATTAGCTATACCTGGGAGTGTGCTGAGATGGTAATTAATTGTTGGGCAAATAAGGGTGTTTTTGAGTTGTTTGAGTTCTAGAACACTGCTTCTTTACCTTGGCCTCCCTTTCTTGGTTCGGTGGCTAGCCCCATGCAAATCCAGAATTAGCAGAGGAGGAAGTAGGGGACGATCAAACAGTGGGAAGAAATACTCTTGCTTATTTTTGCCCTGTCTGACACTGGACTCCAGCCCTAGGACACTTGTGAGAAAGAGAAAAACCATCTCTGATATCCAAAATCTGGCCTGACACTCACAGCTAGGCTTTCTTGTTTTCCTGTTAAACACAGTTGCACAGAACACCAACATCAGACAAGGCCACCCTATAACTGTGATAAAATGAGGCCAAAAATAAGACCACTCAGTAATCTTGTCTATGTATGACAAAAATAAAATCACTGGCAAACCACAAAAATGCCAAACATCGCCCAATCGTGGCTAATATAATAACTGCTACTTTTTTACCAGTTACAGTTGTAGCCCTATACCAGTCTTCCTGCCTTAAAGCTGAGATTAACTAAGAATATCTCATTACAGAATTGTCCCTATTTCCTGACAACATCCAATCCAGAAAAAAAGTCCTGCTTTCTTAAACTTCAACCAAAGTCACCTACCTCGAACGCAAATCCTATAACCTCTTTTCTAACATCTTGTTACTGAGATACCTCATGGTTCCTCATGGTGTGCATTCTCTTTTGCTGCAATGAGCAATAAATCCAACTTGTTCAACTACTAATATGTATCTGGTAGTCTTTGGCAGGAGGACATTCATCCTTGTAAATAGTATGTCCTCTGCCTTATACTGTTATAGAGTGTGTTGTCTGTCCATTCTTTCAGCAAACACTATTGAGCATCTCCTTTGTGCCAGCTATTCTTCTGAATATTTGAGATATCACAGTGAACAGAGCACAGAGGAAAAACCTAGTAGGACGAGACAGATCAAAATCAAACAAAAGGTAATTTTAGATACTATAAGTGTGATGCACAAAAATAAAGCATCGCAGTGGAATAGGTGACTAGGGTAGAGGGAGAGGTGTTATTTTAGGTAGAATAGTCAATGAAGGGCTCCCTGAGGAAGGGATGTTTTAGCCGAGGTCTGATTGATGAGAAGAAATAAGACGTGTAGAATAATACCCAGGCAGAAGAAATGGCAGGTGCAAGAGCCCTGAGGTAGGAACCTGCTGGGTATGTTTTGTAAAGAAAAGAGGCCAGGATGGCTAGGCTAGAGCAGAGATGGAGGGGGGTGGTCAGAGAGATAAGCCAGATCACACTGAGTATGATGAGCTTTGTGAGGAGGTAAAATTTTTTCCCAAGTCCAATGCAAAGTCATTGGATGAGACAATCTGTAAAAAGCTCCTCATAAAGTGTCAGGCATATAGTAAATACCTCATAAATGTCAGTTCTCTCCCTACTGTGAGGTGAAAGAGTAAGGCTAATGTCTCCTTTTCCTTTTTAGGAATTTATCTAATTTTATAGACGACAGTTGGTTGCATTTGGATGTTTTCAAAAACAATGAGTGAAAAGAAAATCATTATTGCTTGCCTCGTTTCCTGACTGGTCAGTTTTAGCTTCTTTGTGCCAGTTAAATCACACCGTTTAGCTGTTGTTTTCAGTCTTCCGACAAGAACTGATATGGTGTGAAGGAGAGAGACGAGGTGTGTGAGGGAAATTGATCTGACGAGAAAAAGAAAGCATGGAGCTCAGTCAGTCTCCATTTTCATGGTTTTTCTTCCATAAAGGGAAGAAAAAAGTCCCCACAAAAAGTTCGACAGCTGAGTTTTATTTTTGTTTCTCGCTTTTTCCCTTTTGGCATGCTGCAAGATGGCTGCCTCGGCTCTGAGTACCTCATCCACACACAATACCCAGCAACGAAAAGGCGACCTTTCCCTGCTTCGTCTCCCTTCTTAAAGGCAGGAGGCACCCAGAACACTTCCTCTCCCATTTCATTCACCAGGATTGGATCCTGTGCCCCTTCCTGATCCAACCACTGGGAAGGTAAATAGGATGGTTATAATGGACCCTGGTACATTACAGTTTATCCCTGAGTCAGGACGGGGAGTGCAGGATAGACACCTGAACGAAATTGGGGCTCTGCTGACAAAAAGAAAAGGGAGAGAATAATTAATAGCTTTTTGATCAATAGTTGTGATAGATATTACAAATGTGCCCCAATATCTAGTTGTCTTCTGGATTAGGCTTCCTACCCCATTGGAGATGAGCATGGATGAATGACTAGCTTTGGCCGATGAAATGTAAGTAAAAGTGAAATATGACTTAGAGGCTCTCTGAGTTCTGGTCTGCTGGAAGTGAGGAGTTAGGAGTGTAAGAGATGTATTATGAGTAATGCCTGAAAGATACAGGGATCAGAAGCAGGCAGGGAAAGCCTTCAGGCTGCATTGAAGGTCTGACATCCATCAGGAGAAATAAGAAGAGAGATATACAAGGAGGGCTGGGTAGGAAGAAGCTCCGACTGTGGTGCATCTCTGAGAAAGTCTTGGCCAAGGCCAAGGGGAACTTCAAATGCAGATTGCCTGTAGAGTAGTCTCATGTTGGGCAGTGATGGCCAGGCTCTAGTAACCCACCAGGCTGGGAGCTGCCCAGAGAGATCTTGGCCTCAGCTTGAACACAGCAAAAGATACGAAGGTGCCAACAGCTGGGAGCTGTCAGCCAACTTCACTCCTCACAGCAGCTTCTCTCTTGCAGGGAGATCCGAGCAGCGCATCTCCAATCCTGCTGCACAAGATGCAGCTCTTGACAGCCAGTGCTGGGTTCTCCAGCTGCGAGGACTCCGGAAGCTCTTGTGGAGGTGTTGCCTCCTCCATCAGCCTGGATTCCTAAGTCACTACATCAGGCAGGTCCCCACCCACACCCACACTGGACCTGCAGCACGAGCAAGAGAGGAACTTGTTTGTTGTGTCTAAGCCTCTGAGAGGTTAGAGTTATCATATATCATATCAAAACAGAGCATAGCATTTCACAGCGTATTATAAGACAGATACAGCAACTACCTGTGCCTGCTGCAGTATACATTTTCAAATGTATTGGCATAAAATTGATCACAGTATTTTCATGATTTTGATCTCTTTCATATCTGTGGGAGTGTGTGCCCCCTTTTGCCTTCCCATAGTGTTTATTTGCACTTTTTCTTTCTTTCTTTCTGGATTAGTCTTGCTGTAGATTTGTCCATTTTATTGGAGTTTTCAGAGTCTACTTTTAATTTTTAATTTTGTTTTGTTTTGTTTTCAATTTATTTATTTCCAGCCCTTATCTTTTATTCTTCTAATTTCTTTGAGTTTACTGTTATTTTTATAACTTCTTGAGTTAAACATCAAACTTATTTGTCTTCTTTCTTTCTTCTAAATGTTGCTTATGCTATACCCCAGAAGTTTTGATATTTCGTATTTTCAAGATTATTCCTTTATAAATACTTTGTAACTTCCATTACCTATTGATCCATGTATCATTGAGAATTTTTTTGTTTC